TCGTTAATATTCTACAATGACAGTAGAAGTAGGCCTGTGGGTTCTGAGGCTATAAATCTTTGGGGAAGTTAAAAGCCTTATCTTTCTCCTGTGATGGCAATGAGTTTGAGTTTTAAATTTTGTATGATGGCAGTATGTCCATCTGTATTTATTTGGAAATATAAAAATGTATATATATTATATTAGCAGAAACTCAGCTAAGATTTTAAGTGAAAACTTTGTAAATTGTGGTTTGAGTAATGTAATACAACAATTTGTCACGCAACATCAACTGTTACTAAAGCAATTTTCTCCATTTTTAAAATGATTCCCTTGGAGGGCTGAACTTCCTAAAAGTAATAAAAGCAAGAGAGGGTATGCAGCTAAATGTCAAGCCAATGCCATGCACTTGGCTCTGAAGCAAATAAATTTAGCAAAGCAGAAGGGGTAGAGAACAGAGAGAGGGGTCAAGGAGAAACAGGAATGATTTATTTTACCAGACCCTCTTCCCCTCATAAATTATTAGGCATTTATCTACTTTCTCTAGCCTTGCCCCTAGGTCACCTGGTCTTACAATAGAACATCTGGCAGTGGTATTTTAAAATAGCATTTCAGCAAAATAGTTCCCAGCATTCAAACACTCATCCTTCCTGGCTCTCTAATTTTACCAATAGGGGCTACAACCATAACTGTCTTGCTCAGAGATGTACTTTTCTCTGAGACTCCCTTAACAGCCCTCCCACATCTGCTATGGACCCCAGTCCCTTCTTGACTAACCCTGCTCTTCAGGCTCTTTCTGTCCAATGGTTTCTTTCTTCTCCCTATAGGCTTATAAATATGCTCAACACACTTCCACCATCCAGTCAACCATCAAATGCTATACTCTTGCCTCTTCCATCCTGTCATTGACAGAAACGGGAATTTATTTCCACAAACCACTTCACCTACTCCACTTCCATTGGCTTCTCAAAACCATTCCAGCCTACCTCTTCTACCTACTCTCCACATCCATGCTTTACTGACTCTTGTAATGAAGATATTAATAACCTCATTGTGCAATTAAAAAGCATACTCTCTCCCCAGTGACTGGTTACTTACAAGAAATTTATTTTATCCTTCACAATGTTAACGACACCCTCTAAACCTTTTTTCTTCTGATTTTCATGGCTTTTCTGTTCTTACTTCTTAAAAATGCCGAAGGGATCCATGCTTGACACTCTTTTATTATGCTACAAACACTCTTTGGGGGGCCACCATCTGTTCCACTTAAAATACGATCTGTATTCTATTGTCTAAACGTCTTCTTCCAGCTGTCTAGAAAAACCATCTACTAGATCATCTCTAGCACACAATTTCTACAAGTCCTAAATAATTTTCTTTCCCACCAAATCTACTTCTCTCCTCTTCTTAGTTAATAGCGTGACTAGCCACCCAACCTCCCAAAATAGAAACCTTAGTACCCTTGAATCATCTGCCTCTCTCATATCATCATCTCTATTCTGTCACTAAATCTTGTCCATTTTACTTCATAATCTCCTTTAAGCCCAGCTTTCCTCTTTGTTCCCATTACTATTAGTATATCTAGTATCTTTATCTCATAGAGGACCCATTTCAACCACCTCTCTGCCACTAGTCTCTCCATATTGATTCCATATTATTAAAATAACTATGAAAAAATAAAATAACTATCTTCCAAAAATAAATTCCAAATTAAAATGAGATCTCATGAAAATGTTTTGAGAAATGATGTACGAATGCGCTTTACACAATTGATGTGTGTATGGATTGGGATAACAGTTGTATGAGCCCCTAATAAAATGTTTTT